TTCGAGCGATTTACTCTAATGCAGCCATGAGAGAAAGGACAAATGTGCAATGACTCATGATAAGCTCCACAGGATACAGTTGTCATTACGTCCTGTCAAATTATAAGTATCGTACGGTCATAACATGTTCTAATGCACCTTGACCTGAAAAATCCTGTAACTTGGGTCATAGCTTATGATATTTTCTGTCGCGCAGTCAATCACTCAAATTTGCTGCTGAAGAATACCGTAGCTGATCCTTCTGAGTGGTAGAGAAATTCTGATAAAAACGTCAGGCATATAGAAAGCGCAGGTTTAATAATAAATGTCATTCTTTGCTGAAAACTGAAATCCATGACGACGTTTCTGCATCACATTTTTTCAATTTTAACCATTGAAATGGTAAGATAGATGCACATTTTTCTCAATTTTGCATGTTAATCCTCTTTCCACCAATCTTCTGAATAATTATTTCAGATCCAAACATCCAGTCTTTGCGGTTTAATAAAAGCAACATAAAATAAATTCAAAAGAAAGGATAAACTGGCATTAAACATGGTTTATTAATATAAAACGCACAAAAGTAATATTGCTACACGTACGCATCCCCAGTACTGACTTTGCGACTCGTGCTTCATAAACTACACAAACTTAGGCAAACCACCAGAAAACAGACTCCTACTATCAATTCCATTTTGCCTTCAAGTTTCAGAAGACGTCATAGAATTCTTAACAAAAATGCGGTTTAGGGTTTACAAAAGTAGGGACGTTTTGTATACAACTCCATGCAAATAGCCCAGCTGCAGTTTATTAGATAGAACGCGTTGGGTGTGACAGGACCAATATTGGTAAGACCTACAGACGGTTTAATATTAGAACGAAAGAACATCTGTCCGCAGTATACATTTGTCATGCTTAATACCCCGGCATAGCATCTGATGCCGTTGGTGAAAGGCATGACGTGAGCAAATGAGTGTTTTCATAACTGACAGGGACAGCACCAGGTCAAAGTTATTAACAAAGAACCTCTTAGTATTTTGCCTGGAATGAATACTTACCATCCTTCAGTATAAGTCTAAGCTTAGGTGCAGTCAATAATCTGCTGCGAAAGACGAAAATTTTGCTGAGTGACAGACAACTACCACTCAAGATTATGTAATCGATACAATGTTCAATACTTATAATGTTGCAAGTGTTTTTAAGGAAACGAGTCGACTGTTAGCGACTTTTCAAAGTCTGTTTTGCGTTTCGGCTTTTTAGCCGCGCATCAAGAAAACAATTTTCATATACGTAAGTATAATAGTATTTTCATAGATGCACGGTTAGGAAAAAATTTAAGCTCAAAAGTAAAAACGATCCGTCCCGCAGGTTCTCCCGCATGTTACCCTGAATGACCGTTTTTGAGGAAGTGCAAAACTCGTTGTAAGCTCACAATGTGATGTACTGCTGCTACTATGCCTTTATGTGTGCAATAATGAACGTCTCGTGCTACAAACTAATTGCTTAAATGAATGAAATTCGTCACTGATTAGCAACAAAGTTGCTCTACAATGAGGATTTTCCATTCAGCGGAAAATGCAACCACGATCTTTTTGAGTTAAGTTAGAATGAACTGTTTGCGCATGACTTATTTTCAACAACACGCATAGCAGTTGCTTGATCATGGCTCTTCACCTCATCGATAACTCTTGTTGCAAATAACTCACGGTGCAACGGAAATACCTCACTATTACACCAGGCCAGATGCCCTGAGAGGGCAAACACAAATTAACGGGCAAACTAATGCCGATGCGATTATTAACGAACAGAGTCTTCACTGGCGAGCGTGTACTCAATGTTAGCCGAGTTCATCGTTGTCTTGCAATCACGCCCGCCGAGAATTATTGCTCAATAGTCTCAAACTCATCCTGTACTTTATGCAAAACAAATTGTACCTAATTTTGAGACTTTATCAGAAATTTCACCAATAAAAGTTGTGGAGTACTTGCGTCCACTCGAATATAAACGCGATCACTCTTTGTAGATAAGGCGTATTCTCTTGCGGGACAGACGGTAAGAAGAATAGATTTTGTGCAACTTTTATATATCTGAACATGTTATAGGATAATGGCGGCTACTTCCTTTGCGGTGCTCCTGCTTCTTGTTAGCTATGTAATAAGTGGTGAGATTGAGAAGTCGCATGAAAAAGAAAAAAAACCAATTCATCAATTAGCATCATTACCCAAATGGGACCATAGGTCCCATCCACGTGATATCACAGGCTTTCGTAAGGCCTACCTGAAGTACTATGGAAAGTTTCATGGAGGAGCTAATGAATTCCAGCCGGTCGCATCTAAGAAAATCACAAGATCTAAGGAATTTGAAATAGAGGGCTTCGGTTTCAAACCTCCTTACCATAAACCTGAGCCGAAGTACGAGCACGAGAAGCCGAAGTACGAGCACGAGAAGCCGAAGTACGA